TCTCAAAAAAATGAGTTATTTATAATCACATAACCAATCAGTAATAGAACTGAATCTAAAATTCAAATCTTTTTTTTTTTTTTTTGAGACACATTCTCACTATGTAGTTCACCCTGACCTCAAACTCACAGCAGTTCTTGTGTTTCAGATGTGGCTAAAATTCAAGTCTTTCTTTCTCACGTGCGCACGAAACAGTTCTCACTATATATGTATTTCATGCTTGCCCAAATTCATTTCAGTCTTCCTGCCTCGGTCTCCCAAGAGTAGAGACCACAGGTGTGTGCCTAAAATTCAAGTCTATTGCTGGTGGCACATGCCTCTATTCAGTGCTGTCTAGTTATTCTCTGAAGACTGAGGCAGTCTGATCCCAATGTGTTTGAGGCTAGCCTGGGCTACATTGGAAGTTCTAGTCCAGTCTGACATAGCAAGACTTGGTCTAAAAAAAACCAGTTCTTTTTCTTGAGCAAGGTAGTTGGGCCAAAGGTTAGTTAAGCTCTGTCTGTGTTAAAATGTTGTGGATTTTGTGGGGTAATGTATTATAGTCATGTTATATGAAACAGAATTAAAGGTGTAAATTTTTACTACATGCTAGATAGTTTAAAACTCAGACAAAATTAAAAAATAATTTTTTTCTTTTGGCAGTGCCTGGGATTGATCCCAGGGACTTGCACACAGTGCCCTATCATTGCGCTGCCTATATCCCCAGCCCACAAACACTATTTTTGAAGAAAATACTGGCCCTGTGGACACCCCTCCAAGGTGAGAGACTGTCCAGGCGCACTTCCACACAGGCACCTGTCCCTCACTGCCTGTTAGACTGTGGATATGATTTCAGCTGGCAGCGCTCAGGTCCCCAGGGCTTTGCCAAGTTATTCAATCTGGTGCTCACCACAAGACAGTCTTCACAGAGGCCAGGTGGGTGCTGTGGCCAGGGCACCTTGACACTCCTGCTGTCACCCCCTCCATGTGCATTTATGCCCTGTCAAGCCAGAAGAGCAAGCGGAGTGTCTAGTGTCCACCAGCTCCTCTTATGAGACTGCCATTTGCCCACTGGCTGTTAGACAGGATACTGAGGATCATTGTAAGAAAGAATCCTATCAAATCATTCAATCTATCCCAAGGATATCAAGGGACACCTGGTATGACCTACCTTTTTGTCTCTCATCAACATTTCTTGAAGGGAAAAAAATGTCTGACCCTAATACAAGGAATGCTTTTACTTCTCCTAAGAGTAACTTTGTTTTTACCTTATGGACATTGTGAATGTTTAACTTAACTCTCTCTGGTTACCTGCCAAAGAGCTTAGAGCCAAACTTGTGGCTCACCCATAACAAATGTGCTCTATGCCTCGTTAACTTCATTCCTGGCTCTAGTTTAGGTCTCTGTTCCAGTTATTCTGTCTGCTTAAGAAAACTTTAACTCGTGCTATCTTATTTATATATAAATTTTTTCATGAGCAGCTTTATATATTTTTTCTGAAGTAGTTTGGATTATGATATATTCAGTGTACATAAAACCATCATGGATATCTCTTTGTTACTTTATTTACTTAAGCTTTTGTCTTAAAGGGTATATTTTTGTGTATGGATTTTGTGGGGTTTAGATTATATAAAATGATTGCCACACAATTATAGTTTTAATGTGTGATCAGATGCTGAAATAACTGTTCTATTGGCAAAAATTGATTAAATTGATGTAACACTATCCCTATTTTTCTTTCTTTTTTTTTTTCCAGAACCGGGGATTGAACTCAGGCCCTTGCTCTTGCCAGGCAAGCGCTTATTCTACTGAGCTATCTCCTTAGCCCCTTTTTGAGATAGGGTCTTGCTGTACACTTCAGGCTAGCCTTGAGCTCACTGTGTAGCCCAGGCTGATCTCAAACTTGCAATAAGCCTCCTGCCTTAGCCTCCCTTGTGCTGGAATTATAGGCATATGCCACCACATTCCCCATGCTGGGCTCTCTAGCCCTATCTTTTATGGCAGTATTTCTGTTTTTTTACAACTTGCATTGGTTGTTTTATTTACTTGTTTTGGTAACACTGGGACTTGAATCCAAGGCATTTGCATCCCTAGTGATGCTCTCCCTATTTTTCTCTCTTTTTGGCGGGGGGAGGTAGGGGTCTTGCTATGTAGATCAGGCTGGCCTTGAACTTACCATGTAGCCCAGGCTGGACTTGAATTTGGGGTGATGCTCCTGCCTCACCTTTCTGAGTACTGGGATTATAGTCATGCACCAGCAGCCTCACCCCCTTTATTTTTTGAGACAGGTTTTAAATTTCCCTGGGCTAGGCTTGAACTTGCACCTCTTGCCTCAGCTTCCCCCAGTGCTAGGATTACAGACATGTGCCACAATACCCGGCACTGTACTTTATTTTATACTCCCAAACTATGTGTACCTGTTTATTGATGTGTGAATTTTAGAAATACTATGCTGCTAAGTCAGTGTATAGCAGTTAGCTGCTACCTCTGTTGAGTCTGTAGGTTCAAGTATTATATCATCTTCTACACCATTAGACTTTTTATAACATTGTGCCTTGGTGTTCACGAGCATATTAATCCCATCAGACAACTTGTCTTGCTTGTTATTTGTTTTTTTTTTTTTTTTTATTTTTTTTTTTTTTTTTTTTTTTTTTTTTTTTTTTTTTTTTTTAATATTTATTTATTTTTATTTATTACATTTATTTATTGTGTGTATGTGGCCAGCTCAGCCCACCAGGGGGCGGGGCTGGCTGGCATGTGGTGCTGGAGGATCTAACCGAGGTCCCTGTGCTTTGCCAAGCTTGTTTCAAGTAGGTGCTCTAGACCACTGAGCCATCTCACCAACCCTTGCTTGTTATTTGGACAAGATAATTTGAATAGATGTTTGTTCCCAAACACTATTTGCTTTGATTGGTTTGGAGTTCTGTCTAGATTTTCTAATTATCTTACTGATATCCAAAAGATAGCATGTATTATTTGAGCAACTTTTTTTTAGCTCTTCTCCTACCTTCAAGAAAAATTATTCGACCTTTTCTACAACTTTCTGAGGTTTGAATGGCAAGTAGGCACTCTAATCGAGGACAGAAACAGTTAGCTGGCTATTAACTAGGGCTAGATTCTTGAGCCACGCAGCTCTTAAAAAGTCAGAAGAGCTGGCCATGGTGTTGCATCCCTGTAACCCTTGTGAGGTTTGAGAGGAGGATCACAAGTCCAAGGCCAGCACGGGCAATTTGGAGAGACAGGGCTAAATAAAAACATAAAGAGGGAGGCCAGGCAGATGGCTCAGTAGAAGAAGCGCTTGCCTGGCAAGCACAAGGGCCTGAGTTCAATCCCCAGTTCCGCAAAAAAAAAAAAAAAAAAACATAAAGAGGGCTGGGGGGGTATAGCTCAGGACTCCCTGGGTTCAATCCCCAGAGCCACAGTGAAAGAAGAAACGGGGGAGAGGAAGGGAGAAAAAAAATAAGACTGTAATTTTATAATCTATATCCCACCTTTGTAGGTTAAAGATGGGAAGTGAGCAGACATGTTATATATCACCTCTGCTGGTCAGCATCAGGAATGGTTTTCAATTGTATTACTCAACGTTTTTTTTGTTCTTGAAATTCAGGTTCCTTTTAACTATAGTTCTAATCACTATCGCTTTCTGTTATGGAAGGAAAAAGCAAGACTCTTGAAAATTAGTGTTAAAATTGAAACCATTCCCTTGGTAATTAGTAACTTTTTTCTTTAGATCTTTTAAATTCATCTTTAACATCAAAATAGTTTGCTATTGTTAATGTATATTCATTAAAAAGCCAGCATATAGGACTGGCGAGATAGCTCAGTGGACTAAGCGCCTGCTTAGGCAAGTAGAGGGACCAGAGTTCAATGCCCAGCACTACATGCCACGCTGGCCCCACTCCCAGGTGCATTGAGCTGGCCTCCGAGTCCAGGCGTGGTGGCGCATGCCTGTAATCCCAGCACTGGGGAGGCAGAAAACAGGAGGATCACTAGGAATCTGAGCTGCATAGTGAGACCCTGTACCAAAGACATTTAAGTTAATTATTTAATAATAAAAAGCCAACATGTGGTTCCTGTTATGGCACTTGGTAAAGGATTAGCTATGATTTTATCTTTGCATTTAAATAGAAAATTAAAATTTCATTTTTAGTGTCTGCATAGAAAATATTCAAAGTTTTTATTCTAAATAATTGTTCATATACAGAATCTATGATAGTTTCTTGCATATTTAGCCACAGCGAGGTATGTAGTGTTGCTAAACTAAAAATACATTGAATCTTTACCACAAGCCTGTCTGAATAGCTAGCATTTTACAGCCTGGTATCCTGTCCAGCAGCAGACACTGTCTTCTGTCTCTCCTTCAGCTTCAGGGACTTCTGAGCAGCCCCAGTCAGTACAAGATGGACCCGGTAGTCCTGAGTTATATGGACAGTCTACTGCGGCAATCAGATGTCTCACTGCTGGACCCACCGAACTGGCTCAATGACCATATTATTGGGTTTGCCTTTGAATATTTCGCCAACAGTCAGTTTCGTGACTGCTCTGATCATGTCTGCTTTATCAGCCCTGAAGTCACCCAGTTCATCAAGTGCACTAACAGCCCAGCAGAAATCGCCATGTTCCTTGAACCCCTTGGTCTTCCCCACAAGAGAGTTGTGTTTTTAGCCATCAATGATAACTCCAACCAGGCAGCTGGGGGAACCCACTGGAGTTTGTTGGTTTATCTCCAAGATAAAAATAGCTTTTTCCATTATGATTCCCATAGCAAAAGCAACTCCATCCATGCAAAGCAGGTAGCAGAGAAACTAGAGACCTTTTTAGGTAAAAAAGGAGACAAACTGGCCTTTGTGGAGGAGAAAGCCCCTGCTCAACAAAACAGCTACGACTGTGGGATGTACGTGATCTGTAATACTGAGGCCTTGTGTCAGAGCCTCTTCAGGCAGCAGCCAAACTCACTGCTGCAGCTGCTCACCCCCGCATACATCACGAAGAAGCGGGCAGAATGGAAAAATCTCATTGTCAGGCTTGCTAAGAACTAGCGGCTGAAAATATTCCTGACTTTGGAAGCCTCCTCTTTCTGCCCTTCCTCACTCATTGGATGGCTGCAGTCTCAGTGCCTGAGGGAAGATGCCTCGTAGAGAAAAGCTCACTATTTTTTTAAAGGTTCTCATCCTCTTCAATGGCCCAGTGAAAAGTTTCCCCTTAATCCTGACCTGAGAGCAATATGTTCTGTGCAAGTGTCTTCAGATTATGCACCAGGGCCGGGGAGATGGCTCAGTGGAATAAGCCCTTCCCTGGCAAGCGCAAGGGCCTGAGTTCCCCGGTCCCCCCCCACCACCAAAAAAAAAGATTATGCACCAAAACCTTAACATGTATTACATATGTGCTTCAAGTAAGACTTTTCTTATTGGCATAAGGTTAGTTCCCTTTTGGTCCCCTTTTCCACGCTGACTTATTCCAAAGGAAAAGCAGTGATCTCAGAAACTACATGAAACCTAGAGGAACACTAGGAAGAAAACTATAGGACAACCAAAAAACATGTTATATAGCCTACATAATTAAACAGGTCAACTGGCTAGAAGCAGACCAAGGCTTAACTTCATTTAAAGCCTAAATATTAGGCTGGGCATGGTGGCACACACCTGTAATCCCAGCACTTGAGAGGCTAAGACAGGAGGATGACCTTAGTTTGAGACTAGCTTTGCCTACGTAGCAAGACTCATATATCAGAATCAAAGGACCTAAATATAAAAAGCAGTCGTTCACTTCTGTGAGCAGAACCTTTGCAGATATTTGAGAAAGCTGATGTTAGCCCATCTCCCTCTATCTGGTATCTGGGAGGCCTGAAAGGTGGGAAGTCTTGAGTAACTTCATTAAAACGGCTGCAGTGGACTTCTCTGCTCAGTGAGCGGGTCAGTTTTCACCTGTAGATTGATAACAGCTCTTTGCCTTGTCTGTTTGCCATGCACTTTTTTTACATAAAAGAAGAAAAGTGACCTTTCTCAACCCTTTCATTTAATTCAAAATGCAGACTATGTAATTTTTAAAATGTGGAACCAAGAGTAAAAAGAAACTGGCCCCCTGAAGCCACAGATGTGTTTTGCCATTATTTTACATACTTACGGAATAAATTGAGTATCTACATGAATTCTGTTCCAAATGAGAATTAGACTGCAATGTATCTGAGCCCTGAGTACCAAGGATTGGCTTCTGGGTGAGACTGGCTTTAGCTCCCTCCCCAGCAGGCCCTGCCCCCAGCCCACATGACCCAAAATAACCTCACCCCCCAGTGACCACGGAGACATTCAGTTCCTTCTAGCCAGGAAGGGGGAAATACAACAAGTGTAAATGAGTACAGGTTACAGAGCAGGCTTGAGTGAATGTGAGTTGACACTAAAAGTCAAAGTGAAAGCTACAGAAAAAGTTTCCACTTAAGTATATTCTAGATAAAAGGGCCTACTGGAGGATGAGGGTGAGAAAAAGATTAACTGGCTGTCAACCTGAGGTACAACAGGGAAGGACAGCAAGAGGAGTGACACAGGTTGCTGGCAGGCTACTGTGTAGATAAAGATAAGGCAATAGCATTTCAGTGACTACTGACACAGACTGCTGTGAAAGAGATTCTCATAGGTGGTCTTTCTGACAATACCAAGTACATTTGCTTAAATGTGAGACTCCCATTTGAGAATTAATACATTATGAGAACAATCTTTCCTAAATCCTAAGATTCTTCCCACAAATAAATTTGGGAGGCTGAAAATAGGAGGCTCATTAAGAGTCCGCTCTGTGTACTGAGACCCTATAGACCCTGTACTAAATAACAAAAAATAAAATAAAAACCAAATTACTCAACAAAGTCTTTTTTAAAAAACAAAACTTTAGATCTCCTTTACCAAATACATAACATGATTAGACTATACCACCTGTTAGTATTCTAGAATATGTGATAATTTATAAATATTACCATTATAAGCCACAGGAGAATTGAAAAATTGACATGTAGTTGTTCACTAGATACTGTAACAGCCCACATATTGTACATCTAGTGAACCATACACCTTTAATATGCAAAATTAGAAAGAGATCTTTTGCAAAAATTATGCCTCTTTCTTAGAGTCAAGATGATAACTATGCAAAATGGAGCTCCCAGATATTCAAAAAGAAAGCAGCTTACTCAACTTTGAGTTAAGCAATTTTCAGATGGACCCACCCTCTTTCCAGTAGCCTGCTGCATTGCCGCATAAGTATTTTCATATTTGTCCACTTGGGTCTTAGTGTGAAATATATATATATATATCAGTGAATTTTCTATTTATTAATCTCAGCCACAAATATTTCCACCCTTTGACTAGCTATCTGCTAAAGTTTATAAACACTGCTCCTAACTGGATTGAAACAATTTAAGAATTACAAGTGGATTCTATTTATGATATATTACCTTTTTCCCCCACATTTTGAGAATTAAACCCAGGTTCTTTGCACTGAGCTACTTCTCTAGGGGCCCAGCCCATATTTTGTTTGATGGTTGGTCGGTTTGTATTGAGACAGGATCTCAATAAATCACCCAAGCTGGGCTCAAATTTATGATCCTCCAACCTTAACCTCCCAAGTGCTGGGATTACAGGCATGCACCACCACACCTGGCACTATATGCACATCATATGTTTTAATAATAAACATTCCAATGAGATGTCAAAATAGAATTTCTCAGTCACATGGTTATTGTACTGAAAATGCATTTTTTTTTCTTTCATCACTGAAAATAGAACAGGAGAAAATAATTATAGAAGTTCACATCCTGTGGTGTGAGAAAAAGCAATGAATGTTTTAATCAAATCCAAGCACTGTCATTTAAACAAACAACCTCAGGCAAGTCTGAGATTCAGTCACATCTGAAAAATGAAGAGTCTAGTAATCTTTCAGTAGGGCCTCTTTTTATCTAAAAAATGAAGAGAGTCTAAGGTACAGTAGTGATTAAATATGACATATAAACCATGTGCTGGACCCTAAAATAAGCCTCATTTCCCTGCTGACCTTCCATCTAGTTGCATTTTAAAACTTTTTTTTTCTTTTTTTGTCTTTTTTGAGACAGGGTCTCACTATGCAGTTCAAGCTGTCCTCAAATGCACAACAGTCTTCCTGCCTCAGTCTCCTAAGTGCTGGGATTACAGGCATGTGCCACCACACACAGAACTGCATTTTAAAACTAACAGCTTTTTTTTTTTTTTTGGTACCAGGAATCAAACTCAGGACCTCTCACCTGTCTGGCAGGCCTGTGCCACTGAGCTATATCCCTAGTCCCTAACAGCAAACTTGAAAACTTAGTTTTATATTGCCTGATAAATACTGTTAGGTATAAAACAGCAGCTTATGGAAGGATGACAATAGGAACAACTAAGCTTTATATTACGTATAATATGCAGGGAGTCAAGTATGGTGGCCCATGCCTATAATCCCAGCACTCAGTAGGCTGAGGCAGGAGGATCACTGTGAATTCAAGGCTAGCCTGGAGTACATAGCAAGACCCTATCTCAAAAACAAAACAGCAACAACAAAAAATGCAGGGAACATGACATACACGTATATCACTCATATATATGTAAAGTACTTATACATTTAAAATAATATATATACATTGCATACTGTGTGTATATATAGTTTTACCTAATTCTCATGTTTTTCCAGGTATTACTAGCCCTAGTTTATAAAGAAGCAAAATGGCAGAAGCTTAGTTGGCCTCCATCTCCTTTTATACTTTCTGCCTATCCCTTCTCCCTTTTCCCTCTTCCAAAAGTCATGGCAAGAACTCCTTGCTTGAACATCTTAAATGTGTTCTCTCTTCACTTTCTAAATGTCACATATTCCACTTGTATATTACAGTAATGAGAACATGTCTCTTAACTGCGAGGCAGCAGAGGCAGCAGGACCCGTACAAAATCTGGTTTGCTGTTATACATCAGGTTGTTTCTGGCTCAGCTCCTCACAGCTGCCCAGTTACCTTTCACATTCTTTGTGTGTGAAAGATGGAAAGTAAAACAAAAGTGGCAGTCTGGAGAATCTCACTTAGAAAAGAGAAGGCCTTAGGAATTGTATCCAAAACTTGAAACTAAGTAGAGATACAGCTCTCTGCGCAACAGTGGAAAAATCCGTCCCTGAGTTCCAACATGAGGCTGAAATTCCACTAAGGAAAAAAACAACGTGCCAAATGCACTTTTCCTCCAAGGTTCTTATGGAGGAAAAAACTAACATTCAGAAGTTAAGGGAAGTGGTAGCCACCTTGATTGCCTGCAGTAGGGAAGTTTTCGTTGCTGTGAAAAAAAAAGGAAATTCTAGATCCTGCAATTTGTGTTAGAAGACAAAATAAGGGTATAAAAACAGGCATGCATGGTGGTGCATGTCTGTAGTTGCTGCACTTGGGAGGCTACGACAGGAGGATCACTTTGAGTTTGAGGCCAGCATGGGCTACATAGTGAGACTCTATCTCGAAAAAGAAAAAAAAAAAAAGGTTTTAAAAGCTAAGGGCATTTTCCTGAATTCCCTCCCCACCACACCCTTGATATTCACCATGTACCAAAACCAAACAACCTGCATGTAGAAAAGCCTTTGTACATAGTGCGGACAGGCCAGCTCCCTGCCCCAGGCTGTCTCCATAGGCAGCTCACACTCCAACTCTCCCTCTTCACCACTTGCAAACCCTTGCCTCCCCTGGCTGGCTGCTGCTGTGTCCTTCAGGGAGAACTAGAGGCCACCAAAAATTAACTCCTTGGGGCTGGAGAGATGGCTCAGTGGTCTAAAGCACCTACTTGGAACAAGCTTGGCAAAAGCACAGGGACGGCGGTTCAATCCTCCAGCACCACATGCCAGCCAGCCCCGCCCCCTGGTGGGCTGAGCTGGCCACACACACACACAAATAAATGCAAAATAAATAAATAAAATTAAAAAAAAAAAAATTAACTCCTTCCACTTCCCTGATGCCAGATCTGATGCCCTCCTGCACCTGCGCCCCTCTTGGAGCCCTCAGTGCTGTTACGGTAGCCCTGGTGCTGACATGATCCCTGCATCTGCCCAGAGACCCTGTGCAAGCAGTTCTTTCAGTGCAACTTCATGCCAGAGAGCAAGCTACAGCGGATGGGGTCAATGAACTTAAGCAACCTGACAGAAAATAAGGAACTGCTACATGTGTGTGTCTATCCATGGGCATCCCTTCTGCAGATCTGCTGATTCCTTCGGGATTTTCACATTTGAGTTAGCTGTACTCCGCGTGCAAGCACTGTCTTAGAGGTAACGTGGGGTTATGAGAGTGTGACTTCTTTAGCC